TGGCTTGAATTACATTGCCTAAAAACAAGATTGAAGTCTGAACCCCTAGAACCTATGACTGTGACCTTATTTGGAATTAGTCTTTGCATATGTAATCGAGTTAAGATGCAGTCACACTGAATTACTATGGGCCTTAATCCAGTGACTGGTGTCCTTATAAGAAGAGGGCAACCTGGCCCTGGCTGGTTTGAGCGGTTAGAGCGTCGGCCCGCAGACCAGAGAGTCCTGTGTTTGGTTCCCACTAGGGCACGTACCTCGGTTGCAGTTTGTCCCCAGCCCCGGTTGGGGTCATGTGGGTGGTAACCACTCAATGTATCTCTCTCACATCAATGTTTCTCTCTCTCTTCCCCCATCTCCCTCCCACTCTATCTGAAGATAAATGCAATAATGTCCTCGGGCGAGGATTAAAAAAAGAAAAGAAGAAGAAGAGGGCAATCAGAACGTGGATACACAGGAGAGAAAGCCATGTGAAGACTGCGGCAGAGATTAGAGTCACATCTACAAATCAAGGAATGCCAAGGACTTGCTGGCACCCACCGAAAGCTAGAAGAGGCAAAAAAAAATCCTCCCCTAGAGCCTTCAGAGAGACCCTGGCCCTGCTGATAACTTGATTTCAAAGTCTAGTCTCTAGAACTGCAAGAGAATACATAACTGTTGCTGTAAGCCACCCAGGGTGTGATATTTGTTACAGCAGCCCTAGGACACTACTAGAGTCTGAGGCATTGGAGGGGCTGAGTTGGGATGAAGCGAGGAGACTGAAACCATGCAAATGAATGCCACGCAGCAACTTGTATGGGCTGGTCCTGTTATCAAACCATCCCGCACAGTGTGGTCCTTCACCTACACTGCGTTCACAGACTCCCAGGACTGCCTGGAAGAAGATGCGCAGTGAAGGGAGACAAACCTGGGCTGAATCTGTCTGTACTTAGGGTGTAAAGTGCAGGGTAGACAACATACCTCTGCGGTCTCCATGTCCTCACTTGAGAATGCAGCCTCCATCAGAGGGTCAGTGTGAGAACTACTGTGTTTTACTGTAGCAGCAGCCCAGTCAAGGTTCGTTTCTTTGTCCTTGAATTAAATTACAAGCAGTTTGGGGGTTGAGGATGGGAAGGTTTAAACCCTTCCCACTGGAGAAAGGAGCCGAGAGTCTAAATGCCGGTGCTGGGCCATGTAGACTGACCCTCTCATTGCAGAGATGAGCACACTGGTCACATCATATATTTTCCACACTCACCTCAGACAGACAGTTGGGGCACCTGGGACACCTCCAAGTGCATGTCTGTTGACAAATGAAGTGACTTGGGAAGACCTCACAAAGAAATGAGAATTAATCTTATGGTGAAATAAACCACGTGGCATCGTGTAACAGCCTTCACGGGCCTCACTACTTTGCCCAGACCTGGCTGTCCATTCCTGGCCCCGTAGCTCTCGAAGAACAGGTTGCTAGCCCACCGTCCTTGAGAGACCTTCAAGGGATCAAGGCCTGCGCTCAAACGAAAGTGACTCAAAAACAGGTGCTCAGGTATTTTCAGCTGCATAGCTGATTCTATATCATAAGACCAAATGAAGAGTCCTTTTAGAAAAGGATATTTAACCCAAAGTCAACTCCAGAGTAGATGGCAAATACAGTCCCTTTTGTGAAGATCAAACATGCAAGAATAATGAACTATGCAACACCTGCCGCCGCTACCCAAGCCGCGCCTTCCGTGTTCCCCTGCCGTGCTGTGCTCCTGTCACTTACCACAGTGACGTGTGTATCGACTTGTTTACTCAGTGTCCCCCGGGCCCTCTCTGCTCACTGGAACGTAAGCTCCACCAGGCTCAGACCTGGTGTCTTTTATTGATTTACATATCCCCAGGGCCTGTAACAGTCCCTGTCACATAAATTGGTTCACAGTACATATTTGTGGAATAAATGAGTGAATGAATAAACATAAGTTTGGGCAGGGAGGGCGGCAGTCATAGGAAGTGGGTAAGGGAGCGGGATGTGTGGCTGCCTTTTGCCTACAGAATTCGCCCCTAAACCCCTCACCATTAAGAACTCCTCTGCCCCGACTCCATCGTCACCACGGATTTAAATCTTCCTATGTGCATGTTTCTATATAGGGATCACAATTTTGGTTTGATATTTTTTGCTGTCAATTAACAGGTGGACTCTTTTTTTTTAATTGGTTCACATCTCAAAGAATTCTGAGGAACAGAATCTCAACCAGGATGAAAACCTGTGGTGAAAACAGCAAAGAACAGCACGCAAGGGACTTGGGTTCTAGATCTAAGTGTCCTTTTGATTTCTGTGTGGCCTTAAAAAAAATCATTGGCCTTCAGTTTCCCTGTAGAGGCATTGAACTCCATGCCTCCTGAGTCCCTTCCATCTTTCAAAGCTAGGATTCTATAGAAATGATTAAAGTAGGCTCTCCCATGCATTTGGGCTTCCTAAGAGAGGTGTTGACTGGTATCTTGCATCACTGTCTAATGGCAAAATAGTGTGGTTCACTTGGGTCACAGGTCAGCACTTTCCCTGGGGTCAGTTGTCATCACCAGAAAAAGACAGATGGTGTTCTTATTAAAAATGTAAAATGCCGGTGGAGGCATTTCCCAGGGACAATGGAGATCACACAGACACTCTTCTCCCTTTTGAAATTGTCCAGGTGTGTGGGTGTGCAGGGGTGGGAGGAGGTGCAGGAGGGCAGGAAAGGCACAGCCAAAGGTAGAGAAGGGGAAGGCAGGTGCCCAGACCACGGGTTTGGAAAGTCACTCGTTTTCCTGTTAGAAAAATGACACTTAAGCTTGACAAATGAGAATGTGCCCATGAACTTTTAGTAGATACGTGAAACTGTTTCCATTATGAGCCATGTCACTGTGGGGGAGGGCAAGAGCTGAGTGTCCCATACATTTATCTTCCTTAGAGGTTTTAGTTATCCACTTGCCAAGGCTGCCCCAAGTCTGCTCTTTGTAAGCCTTCCAATGTTCGTTACTGGTCTTCCTAGAGATCTGAATTGTCTGTTTGTAATGCAGTTATTGGCTAGCTCTCAAAATTACACCTTCAGATGAGACTTCTCGCCTGAGTGCTAGTCTTAGGTGACTGCCTACCTACAAATAAGTACCACTTAGATATCATTACTTTATCCTCACCTGAGGACATTTTTTTTCTTTCTTTTCTTTCTTTTTTTTTTTTTGCATTTATCTTCAGATAGAGCAGGAGGGAGGAAGAGAGAGAGGAACATCGACGTGAGAGAGACACATTGGTTGCCACCCACACAACCCCAACCGGTGCTGGGGACAAACTGCAAACAAGATAGGTGCCCTAAGTGGGAACCGAACCCAGGACTCTCTGGTCTGCGGGCTGATGCTCCAACCGCTGAGCCAAACCAGCCAGGGCTAGATATGATTACTTTAAATGTAACAAGTCAAGGGCAAATTTAGCAGAGTCTCCCCAATTCACTCAGTCTCTGTCACTCACATCACTAATCTCGTTCTTAGGCTTAAGTCTGAAGGTATTTTTCACTCCTCACAGCCCCCGTCAGTAGTCATCCACAATTCCAGAAACAATAACAAACTCACCAATCTGCCCATTACTCAATAAATGCTGGCTATTCTGCCATTTGTATTATGACTTGAAATGATCTGACCCATCACCCAAAACTGTTGAGGTTTTTCAGTCTCTCACGTTTATTTCTTTTCTCTCATCTCCACCTTCATCCACGTTTTCATCCTTCTTGCCTAAACTTCCAGAGCAACTTTCTTCCTGGCCTTCCAATCTCTAATATGTCCTTGCTGCAATCCATCTCAAATAAATCCACAGGTTGATTTTTTTATTTTTTGACACCACTTTCGTGAAGTCACAGTTTGCCTACGAGGGATCCTGTGTGCCGGTCAGTGTTTGAAAACTCCTCAATCGGCATCTAAGAGCTTTGGTCAACTGTCCCTCCTCCCCAAGCTACCCACGATCGACGCTTGCCTTTATTCCACTCGTATTTGTATGAGCACGGACTATGTACCAGCCACTCTCTCTATCACCCACTGCCCTCCAGCATCACCCCTGCTCTGCAGTTAAGCCCAGCTTCTGTGATGCCCTGCAGCCTCCGCGGTGATACCTGCCTTTTGGGCTGTGCTCATATTCTTGCCCTGCCAGGAATCTCTTCCTTCCTGTCAATCCAGGTCTGCTCTCTCTCCGGAAGGTTTCCAGTGAAGGAACCCCAGATCACAACCCTTCCCTTTATCTGAATTCCCTCAGCATTCTTACACCAGATATCTATTGCTAAGTATATTTCTCTTATTATTTCACAGGCATTTGTTGGTCTTCCCATGTGAGCCCCAGAAGGGCAAGGACCAAACCTTCTTTTCTTCTTTGACCCAGATCAGGAATGGGCAAGAAGGGATGCAAAGCCAGCAGGGACCTTGGTTTTGCACACAGCTCATGGACAAGGCCCACTTGCCACCGTATAGGCAGTAAAGGCAGAAAATGGGCACCAAAGACCTAAGACTAGATCCTCATACAAGGCTAGAGATTTGGCCATGTTTTGAGATGTGTTTGTAAATGTGGAATTAAATTGTTTTAAATAATTCAAGTTCCTTACACAGCCTATATTCCTCTAGCACAGAAATCTCTACTGAAATACAATGGCCAGTATAACCTACCAGGTCTCAATCACTAATCAGATGTGAAATTCTTGACTCTTCTTGGCCAGAACGATGGGTCCAGTGGGGACAAGAAGGCGCCATCTCAGCTGTCCCTATCAGAAGTTGCCCCTACACCTGGCAACCACCCACAAGTTAGCACCAGTTCATGCCCTTGACCAAAGTTGTCCGGATCCAGTATAAGCCAGCTATTTCGGAACCTGTAAGCCCAGCTCGCCTGTCCCCTGGGTCCAGCTGCACAATGGCTTGCCCAAACCTAGACCACAGTCAGGTGATGTGCGGCCCCTGGCAGAAAGCAGAGGAGATGCCCCTCTCCCCAGGAGTTCCTAGGAGTGCAAAGAGGGGAAAGGAAATGGACTTACCTTCACATAGTAGTTCATGCCCAACCCCAAGAGGCGCTGCAGAAAGGGCCGGTCCTGCCTGCTCCCGGGACTCGGCTCCCCAGGGCCCGGAAGCGGGCAGGCATGGGGACTTACGGAGGTTGCCCTGTGCCCCACCACGTCCTGCTGCGGCAGAGGTGCAGACCCGGACCTATTTAGACTGTTTTCAGGGGAAGCCGGGCTGCTGGGAGCCGGATCCTGGCTTTCCTGGAGCTTCAGCCGGGGTACCTCTTTGGTACCCAAGCAAAAGTTTTTCAGGCTCAGCAAGCTGGCTGGGTTGGCTAACTTCACGCTGGCCATCCGCGGGATCAAGGTGCACAGTGGGGTGGGGCTCTCCTGGGGCGCCAAGGTGGCATCTTCAGCTGGCAAGTGAGGTGCCAGGGCGGGATAGGGAGGCTGCGGCGAGCCCTTGTTCCCCACGGAGCCTCCGGGACTGGCTTCGTCCAAGGACGTGATGGACTCGTTCCGAAAGCGGCTGTACTTGGCCCTGTGCAGCATCCCGGGGTGCCCGAAGAGTCCTACATACAGCACGAGCCCTGCCAAGCTGTCCTGACTGCGTTCTCGCATAGCCTTGGCAGTGCTGAAACAGGATACTGTTGCATAAATCGCCTCGTCGTCTGCGCGATGAACGTACGGAAAACAAATGTCCCAACGCCCCGTGCAACTCACAGCGGCCACTTCTCCAGCTCGGCTCGGGAGCGCTGGGGGCTGGAAAGAGTCCTCCCCTGCACCGGTGTCCTCGCCTCGATTCCTGCTGGAGCCTGGGTGCAGGCTGGCGGCGGCAGGACCGCTCCAGGCCGGCTCAGGAGCAGAGCGCTCGCTCGGGCCAGCCGGTCCGCAGCACCGGCAGAAACACTTAGCGCCCCCCACCCCCAGCCGCCCCTCAGCACACAGGAACTTTCAAACCTGCTCCCTCCGGTTCCCACAGGGCGGGGCAGTGACTGGCCTATTAACCCTTTGTTTGTCCCCGTGATTGTTCATTTTAAAAAGGGGGGGAAAAAAGAAAAGGTATTATAGGAGCCAAAGCGCCTTCCGTCTGAGTTCGCTGATTCTGATGGCTTCCCTCTCTTGGAAGATCTTGTCTTGCATCCCGTCTGGGCCACAAGCCAGCAGAACTAGTGACCGGAGCTGCTCGGCATGATTTCACGGACTTGCCATCCTCGGCTTCCTCGGATCCCCCCAGCCTGCCCACCCTGGCTCAGAGCATCCCTCCCTCTCCGAGCTTCTTTCGGGAGCGCGGCGGCAGCGGGAGGCTGAGATGTGCGGGCTCAAACGCAGTGTTGAAATTTTTATGAATGAACTTTGCTGAATGAATTTCTCTGTGTGTGCAAGCTAATAAATCTGTGAATGAAGCTGAGAATAGCTGTAATTGACTGATGGTCTCAGGGGTGCTTGGTTTTTATCCAATCAGGCGGCAGCTTGGTGACTCAAGCACCATAAATAGACTAAGCTAGTAGCCAGGAGAAATAGAGCTGGAGGGAGAGATTCTATTTTGTGATAGCTGAAGAAAGGGTTAAAGGGAAAGGCAATCATTTACTATAAGTCATCAGTAAGCTGGGCAGCCGCAGGTTAGAAGGTCTATTTTCTTTTTTTTTTTGCTGTTGTTGAGATGGCCAGGAAAGCCAAGCAGAAGAGCTAGAAATTAGATCCATTGTTCCACGGATATTAGGACATATGGTACATAACTCCTGTGGGAAGCCAGTGATGCATTTTTCTTAGAAACATAGTTCTTTTTTTATTGATTGCCGGTTTCATCTCCTGTCTGGTGCAACTTCCTGGACCTGTCAGATGCATTCTGAAGACGTGATGACAACTGCAAGAGGCTTAGCACACAGGAAGCCAGGAAGGAAGCCAGGAGAGGGAAATGCAGGTTCTTTCGGGAATGGGGAAGAGGAAACTGCTGAAACACTGGGAGGATGTGGAAATCACATATCAGAAGAAACTAAACCTCTGCTGAAGGTTACATTTGTTGGTGGGCCAAGGCTCTGGCATGTGAAATTGCTCATTCATGCAAAAATGAAAACGAACTAGCCTAGCCGAGGTGGCTCAGTGGATTGAATGGCGTTGCATGGCCTGAGAGGTCCTGGGTTTGATCCTGTTAAGGGCACATGCCCAGGTTGTGGGCTCTATCCCCAGTGGGGGGGCGTGCAGAAGGCAGCCGATCGATGTTTCTCTCTCACATAGATGTTTCTATCTCTCTAAAAAAAATCAATAAAAACATATTTAAAAAAAATTAAAACTGTCCAGCTGGTGTGGCTCAGGGATTGAGTGTCGACCCATGCACCAAGAAGTCACCAGTTTGATTTCCGGTCAGGACACATGCCCGGGTTGTGGGCCTGATCCCCAGTGGGGGGCATGCAGGAGGTGGCCAATTGATGTTCTCTCTCTCCCTCTCATTTCCTCTCTCTCTAAAAATCAATAAAGGAAAAAAAATTATAAAAAAAAAATTAAAACTAACCAGCAACCCCAGGAATCACGGATGCCACCTTTGTTGTCTTATTGCCCATAAGGCTGCATTTGGCTCATGCATTCATGACTTTAGTGGCTTGAGCTCCTTTGGGATCCAAACACAGGTTCTGAATTAAATGGTTGCTTGTGACCACCCACAAAGGCATCCTCACTGGCTTGCTGCTCCCCTACAGAAGTAACGCACCTCTTCACATCTTGTCTGCCAAACCTGTTAGGATGTATTTTTCCTCAGGAAGGCCCTTTTGCATCTTCATAAACCTTCCCTTCAATCCTTGCTAACCTCTCGTCTGGCAGGGGTGTGGCTAAATCAGTTGCTAGTCGCATCCCCGGTGCTAAAGAGACAGGTTCTGGGCAAGACTGTGAAGTAATCTTCCTCTTTTTCCTTTTCTCTCTTCTTCCCCTTCTGGGGACTCCTTGCTTGTTATCACAGACCCACGTGCTGTGCTGCTTGAGAAAGTTGCTTTACCACTCTGTGCCTGCATGCCCTCATCTGTTAGCTTTCTAATGGAGTTGTTATGAAGGTTCATGAGATGACTCTAGTTCCTGTAAAGCACCTGGCACCATGCTCCACACAGTGAGTGCCTGGCTCATAAGTACATGCCAGACCGTGTAAAGAAAGGCCATTTGAATGAGGACCACCTGCCCCTACAGTCTACACCATTCTGGCAATGAAAAGAAACATTTGCACAAATTAGAAGCCAATAAAGCTAACACTGTACAAAGAAACAATTTCCTGACAATTGTGCGGGCCTGGAACAACAGAGGCCCATCTGGCTGCTGTGAGTCCTTGCTGAGGCCTCTATGACTGGAGGAGAGGGTGCCCAAGGGATCCAGGTACCCAGGTATGCACCTCACCAGTCAGAGTCCAGGGGCCCAGACCAGCTCACATTCCTCGGGAGGTTAGAGTCCTGGGAGTGAGTTGGAGGGGAAGGAAAGTGTGCTCCAAGGAGTGCACTAACGGGAGGGTCTTTCTAGGAAGCAGAGTGGGGGGCAAGGGAGCTATTAGCCAGGAAGAAAGAAAGGGTTGTTTGGGGCTCAGACATCTTTTGGAGGAAAGAGAAAGAAGAGGGGTTTCCCTGTGTAGACCGCCTCTTCTTTCAATGAGGGAAGGAGAGGGCCTATGTGACAGGTAACCTTTCTGGTGCTGGACCAGAAATTCCTGACTGGTTGATTAAGGTTATGTTTCTGGGAGAGGTTGAAACTGCAGTTAGATCAGGTATTAAATCTAGGTTCTGGTATCATGGGCTTTTGGTGTGAGTGACACCCTTTGGGGCCTGTGGCTTTTTCCTTTAACACCTGCGTTCTCATTTACTCCCCACAGTAACGTTTGGAGGCTGGGACGACTTTCCTCTCCGCCTTACACACTGGAAAGGAGCCTCAGAGCCAGGTCAGTGACTTGGCCAGGGCCCCCTGACGGTTGAGCGATGACGCTGGGGTCCCTCCAGCAGCGCTGCCTGGCTGCCAAGGCTGTGCTGTGGCCGCTCCACTCTGCTCCCGCCCAGGGCGCCGGAGAGCTCAAGTGCAGACCCCTGGCCCATCATCTCCGCGTGCAGGAGAGACAGTCAAGGCTCTGAGTAGACGGGAAGCCACGCGGGTTAACTGGCTTGTCTAAGCCCCACAGACAGTCAGTGATGAGTCTGGGGTAAAACCAAGCACAGGCCCCTGCCCACCGTGATGTCAGCCAGCATATGCAAGAACCCACCTCACACTGGCACACGCTCAGTGTTCGCGCTTGCTCTCTTCCCGAATCCTTGGAGATCACATCTGTAACATCCACCCTGAATGCCTCACAGGACCACCGGGAGTAAAAACATGAATAATAGATCAGAAAAGCCATTGTCATTGAGCCATCAGAGGGCCATCAACCCGGAAAGCAGGGCTCTGCAGCCCACTGCAGTCCGCCTCCTGGGCTTTGAGACAGCCCCACGCCAAGGCCACCTGCTCCTGATAAAAACCAGCTTCCTAAGGGGCAGCCTGCTGTGGCTGAGCTTCTGGGGTGGGACAGGCAGGTGCAAGAAAGAGCTGGGTCAGGCTGGCCCATAATAGAGTTAGCCAGTTTCCTGCCAGGATTTCTCCAAGGAGTGACCGAGAAGGGGACCTGGGCAAAATTGCCTGCCCAGCTCTGGAAGGTAACCCAGTGCGGGATTTGGGTGAAGGAAGGGCGTGCCAGGGAGTGCAGGGAGATGAAAGCAGAACGAGACAGAAATAACTCGGGGGGGGGGGGGGGCAGGGGGGGGAAGTAGGCCAGTTGCTACTTTGGAACAAAGTGGAGCAGGCAGCATCGGCGCGCGTCGTTTCTATCGCAAAGCAGACCTACTCCTGAAGAACTGACAGCGAGCAAGACCTACCCTGAAGGCTTTTCCCTGAGAATGAGTCCAACAGTCCACCAAAGAGGAATGAAGACACTGTGGAAGCTCTATTTCAGAGAAAATAAAATCCACGAGATAACATTTATATAAAGCTCTTGCCAGACACCAAAATACCATCTGAAGGGTGGGGCAGTGAGAGGTGTGGAAGGGTTGAGTCTCTGAGAGTCAGGGCCCAACGTCACAGCAAATGGAGGCAGGTCCATTCCCCCCAGAGTTCCTTTTGTCTCCTGATCAAAAGGTTTACGGTTTTTTCAGTCTTCAACCTTGGTCGGGAAACAGCTTTCTGAGGGTTGCTGTTGGCCTACTGGTTCTCCTGGAACCAGGACCAGCTAGAAGCAGCACAGGAAAACAGCTCTTTTCCCGTCTGTTGAAAATGAGGTGATGTCCCTGAAAGTGCTATGTACACGGTCAGACATCACGCAGATGAAGAGTAGATGAGTCACTCAGGGTCAGGTGCAGTTGCAGATAACATAAATCCAAAAGAACAGTGGCTTAAACAAAACACTTACTTTCCTGGAAGTGGAAAGTCCAGGGATAGGGTCAGCTCTGGGCCATCCTTAAAGTATACCTCTTCTCCTCATAGTCCAAAATGGTTGATGGAGCTCCAGCCATTCAATCTGCATTCCGGGCAACAAAATGGATGAAAGGGTAAAGAAGGGCATGCCTACTCTCTTTAAAGAAACATCCTAGAAGTCCAAAGGAATGTTTCCAGTTACATCACATTAGCCAGAACGCAGTCACAAGGCTGTGCCCAGCGGAGGGAGAAAATGAAGTCTCCGTCTTTGACTAAGTGCATGGCAGCTGCACACAAAAGCATAGTCTGGTACTGGGGAAGGAGTGGAGAATGGATATTGTGGTAGACAACAGCATCTCTGCCATTGTAATATTTTCAGAAGAATTTCAACCTAGATAGACTCTAAAGCTAGCATCAGATATCAC